ATTTCAAGTAGTTTATCTCTTTAAAATTTGATATAGTTTCTCTATCTGAAATTTTACGATACGTTCTCTCTCTAAAACATAAAATTTGAGATAGTTTCTCTCTCTAAAAAATTTGAGACAATTTCATTCTCTAAAGAGTTAGTACAAACCATATATAAGTAGGGAAAATATGGTATACTCCTCTTATATATGCAAATATTGCAACCAAGGTCAGTCAACCCATCTTTTTGACAAAATTACCCCCTCGGTCCGAAGATGTCATCCTTGTTCCACATTTTAATTATTGCTATTTTTCATTGGTAGGACAGCAACCGAAGGTTTGGGGCACATCCTAAGGAGTTCGAGGTTCAAATCATCGGACCGCCTTGGCGGTTCATTTTTTTGAAGTCCAGAGAGTGGTCCGAGGTCCCCATCCTTGAACCAAAATTTTTAAAGAAAGAGCAGTACAAGGGTGGGGACCTTGGACCGCCCTGGCAGTTCATTTGTTTTAAGCCTAGAGAGAAGTCCAAGATTGCCGTCCTTGGACCGAAATGTTAAAAGAAGTAGTGGTCCGAGGATAAGACCTCAGACCGCCCTGGCAATTCATTTATTTTAAAGAAAGAAGAAGCAATCTGAGGATTTGAACCTCGGACTGCCTAGGAAGTGCCCTAAACCTTTGGGCACTGCCACAGCAATGAAAAATAAAAAGTAAAAAATTAAAATGAGGTCCGAGGATGGCATCCTTAGACCAAAGGGTAATTTGGATAAAAAAACAATGTCGTGTTGACCAACCTTGGTTTTAATTTCAAGGTATTAGGGGAGAAAATCGTAAGTTTCTAACTTATTTAAGGTACATAATTAACTTTTCTAAAATGTACTCTCTCTCTAAAATTTTAAGATAAATATGATATAGTTTCTCTTTCTAAAAATTTTCAGGTAGTTTCTCTATCTAAACTTTGATACAGTCTCACTCTAAGATTTTAAGATACTTTCTATATTTATAACTTAAAATTTGAGATAGTTTCTCCCTAAAACTTAAAATTCAAGATAGTTTCTCACTAAAAATTTTGAGACAATTTCTTTCTCTAAAATATACTTTCTCTCTCTAAAATTTTAAGATATATATGAGATAGTTTCTCTTTAAAAAATTTCAAGTAGTTTCTTTATCTAAACTTTGATATAGTTTCTCTCTAAAATTTTAAGATACTTTCTCTTTCTAAAATGTAAAATTTGAGATAGTTTTTCTCCTTAAAAATTTAGAGAGAATTCTTCTTTTTAAAAATTTTCAAGTATTTTCTTTCTATAAAATTTAAAATTTGATATAGTTTATCTCTCTAAATTTTCAGATAGTTTCTATCTCTAAAAATTTTAAGATAGTTTTTCTCTCTAGATATTTTCAGGTACTTTCTCTCTCTAAAAGACAAAATTTAAGATAGTTTATCTCTCTAAATATTTGAACTACTTTCGTTTTCTAAGACTTAAAATTTGAGATCATTTTTCTTTCTTGTTTTGAGGTGGTTTCTCTCTCTAAAAATTTTAAAGTAATAACTCTCTAAAACTTAAAGTTGAGATAGGTTCTCTCTCTAAAATTTGATATAATTTCTCCCTCTAAAATTGTGAGGTACTTTCTCCGTTTAAAACATAAATTTTGAGATTGTTCTTCTTTCTAATATTTTTGAGATGGTTTCTCTATAAAAAATTTTATGTACTTTCTCTATCTAAAATTTAAATTTTGAGATAGTTCTCTATCTAAAAATTTTGAGACAGATTATATATCTAGAACTTAAAATTTGAGATATCTTTGCTCTCTAAAATTTTCAAGTATTTTCTTTGTCTAAAACTTAAATTTTGAGATGGTTTTCCTTTCTAAAACTTGAGATAGTTTCGCTCGCTAAACCCTAAAATTTGAGATACCTAAAAATCCGGTATTTTTTATCTCTAAAGATTCAAATTTAGGATAGTTTCTCTCTAAAAATTTTAAGATAGTTTCTCTTTCTAGAAATTTTTAAGTACTTTCTCTCTCTAACATTTTATATAGTTTCTATCTCAAATTTTAAATTTATCTCTCGAACACGGTTTCTATGCGGCCGGCCTGCATATTGTAGAAATATGGGCATGGCAATAAATATAAATTTTAAATATAATTTGATCCTAATTTTTAGAGAATATATAATTTTTAACATGAAGATCATGAATATGAAAAAATAAAATAAATTGAAAACTAGAAATAATAATTATAGGAAAAAGTTTTTATACTTCCCCTACAACATAGAAAAACTATCATTCTCCTATCATCTGGCCGTCCAATTTTGATCAAGAGAGCCACTCAACGTTTGATCTTAAATCCGACGTCTCAAAATATTTTATTTTTAATTTTTTTTATACAAATTGTATGGATATGAAAGTTGGTACATGCCATCTTCTCATTGGAACGCACTTATAAAAAATATTAAAATTGTTTTTCTATAAAATATAATGACCAAAATAACCCTTGAATCTTTCAAGTGTATTTTGATCATTTTATTTTATTGAAAATATTTTTTTAAAATTTTTTGCGTTAGTGCGAGTTTCATTGGATAAGGGGAAGTATATAAGTTTTATATTTTTTCGTTAGTGCGAGTTTTATTGGATAAGGGGAAGTATATAAGTTTTATATTTTTTCGTTAATGCGAGTTTCATTGGATAAGGGGAAGTATATAAGTTTTATACAATAGGGAAAGCATAGAAAGCTTGCCCATAATTATATTAAAAAAACATTTGGATCATTAGTTATAATTTGTTTTAGATGGGCCACCTATTTGCATCTATTTTTAAGATGGATGCTTTATACCTCTGGACCATCTATTATAGAAACGCAGTCTTGCATGAAGCAATTTTCTTTATTTCTCTATTAAAATTTGAGATAGTTTCTCTTTAAAAAATTTCTAGTAGTTTTTCTCTCTAAACTTAGGTGTAGTTTATCTCTAAAATTTTAAAATATTTTTCTCTCTAAATCTTAAAATTTGAGATACTTTCTCTCTCTATTTTGTGGGGGTATTTTGGCAGAAGTAATTGTATTTTATAAAGGGCATTTTTGTAATGGGGAAATCTGGTTAAAAATGAATTGGTATTTTGGCAGAAGTAATTGTATTTTATAAAGGGCATTTTTGTAATGGGGAAATCTGGCTAAAAATGAATTTTTGATGGTAAAGGTAACGGGATAGATTTTATTGTTTTATTCTTGAAATACGGAAAATATTATCTGGAGGGGAATACTTTTATGTCCCAAAATTTGGATCAAAGACGCCGAAAATGTGTCATCTCCACAAAAAAAACATTTCTAAAAATGTATTTAAAGGTATCAAAACAACCCTTTTGTGTTTTTCGTTTTTCAAATGTTTCATTGAAATTATTTTGTCGCATACGAGAAAAAGAAAACGTTTTGTATAAAAATTCTTTTATCTAATGCAATTGGTCTTAAAGGGATATGTTTGGCTCGCAATTAATTTTATCCAGAAAAAGTTACTTTTTCTGAAATTCATGTAATCTAAAAATTATTATTCTATTAGTTGTTTGGTATGTAGTTTACTATAATAATATTATCTGTCGGTGATGTTAAGTTCTTTTTTGCTATTTTTGACAAAAAAAAACCATCGTTTCTAGTAAATTGCTTTGAATAAAGTAAAAATAGCTTTTGAAAAAAATGAACACCTATTTGCAACGGTCTAGAAGTTTATTTTCAAATAACTTTATAATATGTATTACCAAACAACAAATAATTCATTATCAAGATTGACTCTATATTTTTTAAAAAACTTGAGTTTTAACTTTATTGAAACATATGTACATCTAAACACAACGATAATACATAATCCAACACATCTGTATAGGGAAAATATCTTTATATCCCCTATTTTTAAGTTTCACATCTCTATAGACCCAATATTTCAAAATATGTCTTGGACCATAGAAATCATAGGTTTTATATTTTCTAACCTCTTAGACTAGCTTTTATTAATTTAATTCAATTTTTTTAACCCAAACAAATTATAAAATAACAAACCTTTTTAGACCAATCATCTCTCTCTTCCCTCAAACTTCTCCCTCTTTTTCTCTCTCCTCTGTGTATTACCCCAACGCTCTCTTTCTCCCTCCATATTACCCCTCTCTCTCTCTCATTGTTTGATGCTATGTGAAACCCTAATCTACTCAGTTTTTACAGGTGGTTGGTTAGGACTTAAAAGGTTCAATGATGAATTGAGGATTAATTAAGGTTTTGAAAGCTTAGCAATAGAGAATTAGAAGTTCGATTGGTAAATTCAATCATGACCATTCGGAGATTTCATGCTTTGTGAAATCCATTAGGATTTTAGTATCTATTGAAAAAAATAAAAATAAAAATAAATAAATAATAATAATAATAGGGCAAGATGGAATGCCAAAACCTCATTTTGGTGGGACATAAAAATTTCAAGGTCCCTAAAAATGCATATCCCAACGTCATTGCTCAAAACATAAGCTCCATACTCGCAATGGGCTTAGGGAGTGACGGGAGAGAGAGAGGGGTAATACACTCAAGAGAGCGACAATGGGCTTGGGGAGAGAAAAAGATGGAGAAGTTTGAGGGATGAGAGAGAAAAGATAGGTTTGGAAATATATGACATTTTATAATTTATTTGGGTTAGAAAAATAGGATTAGAGTGAAAAAAATATATGAAATTAAAATAGAAGATATAAAAATATTTTCTCTAATATATAATTTTATATATCTATGTATTATAAAATCATGTTCCAATCACATGAGATTTATTATTGGAAAAAGTTTATATAAGGTTTCAACCTTAGATTGTACAAGTACATAGCACTTACAAAACCCACTAGAGAAGGTTAGTTTTTATACTGAAAAACTGCAAATCGATAATGAAAAAAGAATTATAGTCCTAATAATAATTTAACTTCTAACATATTATCTGAACCGTATTGTCAAAATTTTAAATTTCATAATTAAAGACAACAATATAATTTCATATCATCATCGCAAAGCTTTTCGCCACCGAAAGCGTTTTTGACGTAATTTTGAGGCGTATAAGGTCGACACCCTTATACAAACCTCACTTGCTAATAACAGCGAAAGTCAAGAGCAAGGACTTGTCCAAGGTCTAGAGATGTGTGCCAGAAAGGAATCGAGGGCATCGCGAGATGTCCCGCCCTTCCCCACAGCCCGTCGGGCGGCGTCCCTCAGCTCCGCCGCCTTCCTCTTCATTTCCGCCCCCTCTTCCGACCCCATCAGCTTCCTCACCGCCTTCTCCACTCTCTCTGCCTTAACAACGTCGTCCCTCTCGTGCTACTCCTTCACCGCCACCCCCACCCCGAGCACCCCTGTAACTAACTGCGCGTTCACCGGCTGGTCTGAGTGCATAGGCCATGCCACCATTGGAACACCCATGGAGATGCTCTCCATGCACGAGTTCCACCCGCAATGCGTCATGAACCCACCTGTGGAGGGGTGACGCAGTATCTTCAATTGGGGTGCCCAATCCCTCACTATCAACCCCCTCCCTCGCACTCTCTTCTCATACCCTTCCGGTAGCCCAGGAGTATCTTCCGCCTCTCCTCCGGCGAATATGTTCCCTTTGTCTGCATATCTTAGCACCCAAAGGAAGGGATGCCCGATGGCTTCCAATCCTTGCGCTAGTTCCCTCACCTCTGCTGCGCACATTGATACTGTGGTGCCAATTTTCCGACCAATGCATACATTCATGGAACTTGTGTGGCTCTTGAGGCTGCTCCCGCAAAAGGAGTGTCGGCCCCACTGCCCAAACATGGAGAGCGGGGAATTGACCTTCAAGGGCATGGAAGGTGTTGTGGAGCACTCCCTTGTGGAGGTGGTGTTGGAACCTCCGACTGCGTCTCCTTGAAGGTCTCACTTACGCAACTATGCAATGAAGGAGCCCTCTCCTTCACTAGGGAACCATACGGAAAAGCATGTGCTGGTGCAGCGGTAGCCGTACGCCTCGGAATTAGGGCGGGCACTCAGCAGCAGCACCGGCAGCCACAGACATGGCAGCGTCGTGGATGACTACCACGCGACGGTGGGAGCTCGCGAGTTCGCGGACAAGGACAGTAAGTGGAGTAAAGTGGCATCTAAGACAGGCTGGAGGTGGGCCGGGAACTTGCTGGAGGACTCCGGGTCAGGGGACAAACTAGGAAATTGTGGGAAGGGGAGCATGTGAAACCGGAGGTTGGGAAGGGAGGTGCAATCAAAGCCACTGAAGCGGTGAGCGGCCTGTCTCGCGTGGATTTCTGAGCAAGCAAAGACCACCGGCAGGCCGGCCATGCTCGGCAACCACGCAGGCGAACGAACGTGAGCAGCTGGTTTAGGTGGCTCTGCGCCGGCAGCTGCACCACTAGCACCATCACTCCATCACTTGGGGCCTCTTGGCCTGAACCCAATTTGAGGTTTGGAGGAGCGCTCATTGTGGAGGAGGAGTAGGATAATGTTGGCCTCAGGTGGTTTATCATTTATAATGGGCTCATGGGCCCAGCCCAATTAGAACCGTGTTCAGTAAACCAAGCGCAAGTGCCGCGCATCTGCCCAAACAACTTCACTTCCATTTTGTCGTATCATTTTCATTGCTAGGGTCCTTATCGTAAGATCGAAAGCAACATTTCTAGGGTCATCAATGACCTCAGACACCATGTCATGTTGTCGAAAACGACATTTTTAGGCCTCGTGGTCAATGTTATCAGATGGGCCTTTCGGAGCCTGGGTCACTGGAAAATGAAGCATTTGGATACTTCAATTAGATGAGGAAAGCATGAGGTTTTTTTATTTTAACAAAAATAAAAAATATTTTTATAATATATAAAAATTAAAAATAAAAAATTAAAAAGTGGAGTTAGAGGGAGAAACAAGATCGGAGAGACAAAACATACACGAAGAGATGTGAATAGAGGAGAGCGACCGCAAGGAAAGACTATCGAAGGTAAAGAGATATATAGAGCATATTTTTGGTGCAAGGAAGCTCTAAGTACGATGAGTTGATTTTTAACAAATAAAGTACGAAAAAAAAAATCGACAAAAAAAACAAACAACAAGCAATAAAAATAAATAATAGAAAAAATAACACCAGGATTTATGTGGTTCATCACAGATGTGACTACATCCACGAACGAAGGCAGTCGATGCTTTTTACTAAATCAAAAAAAGAAAATTACAAGACGACTTATTTGAGAGAACCAGAAACACAATCTTCCATAAAGCTTTTTTCTCTACAATTTTCTCTCTTTGCATAAAAACCCCCAAAAGTTTTTATCTATTTTTATGGATCTTTTTTACTCTCTAAATAACCCATTATATAGAAAAGGATGGTAAGTGTGCCTCTATCATTTCCCGTAAAGTTAAGAATCTTAACTTTATCTCTATCTACTCGTCGACCTAAGGCTCCATCCTAATCTAAGTAGTACTTATCCACAAACTTAGATCCCAAATAACAAGCTCTACCTAAATAAATAAGCAACCTAAATTAAAAGAAACCAATCTATTAAAAATTAGGGTTTAAGAATTGAAGATAAATCTCAACAAATCTCCACCTTAACTTGAATTTTAAAATATATTCCCATCAACTATTTTCTCCACACGCACCTCCACAGGGGCTCACTTGGGCAACACATTAGTCAAGTCCAAGCATAGCTTGAACTTCTGTAGTAGAAACGGTTTTGTTAACATATCTGCAACATTCTTCATAGTGTCAATCTTCAGTAACCAAATATCACCTTCAGCTATGATCTCACGAGTAAAATAGTATCTGACATCAATATGCTTCGTCTTTGCATGATATACTTGGTTCTTCGCCAAATGTATTGCACCCTGACTATCACAATAAATAATAGTTTCATCCTGTTATAAGCCCTAACAACACTAACGACATGAGAAATGTCTGGTCCAATGCAAACCATTGCATACATGAGGCTTCTAATTGCACTCGCATAGGGAACACGTGACATGTACACTAGATAGAGACACGAGAGCAACGAGAAATTGGCTTTCTCTCTTACTAAAAGAAAAACAACCCAATTCTCCATGAGAACCGCTTATCTACAAGAAACCAATATCTCACTTTGCAGGAGTCTTTAGGAGGCATCATCAATGTTTCTCTTCATAGGAAGCTCTCTTCTCTCTAAGAAAAAATTGTATCTTATGCACATGAGGCTCTATCTCTCTCTCTTTCTCTAAAGGAACCATCATTCCCATTTGGTGACCCAATTTGGGCACACGAATGCTCTCCAATTTCGTCCCATATATATAAGATTAGGAGTCCATAGTAAATAGGAAACTTCCTACTGATGCTACATATATCTCAAAACCACGAGTCCGAACCTTTTTGGATTTCTATTTCCTTTAAAAAACTTATCAATATAAATATCAATCCCACAAAATATGGGAATATCTCAATCCCACAAAATATGGGATTTCCTTATGTTGGTGATTTTGGATAACACCAGATCCAACAATCTCCACCTTGCTATCAAAATCACTTGTTCACCATGCTAGCATCCATTGGATAGCTTCATGGTTTCTTCATCTTTTGCAAAATAAATTTATTCATCATTCTTGCTGAAAAATAATGTTTGCTATCAAATTTCTCCACCTTGAACTTTGCATTCGAAACCTTTATTGCCTTACCGAAGACCCTAAACCAAGGTTCTGATACCACTTGTGCGCAAAACACAATGCCTTGATTTTTGGCAAGAGAAAAAAGGATCGACAAAAAAACAAGCAACATGCAACAAAAATAAAGCAGGAAATAACTAACAGAAAAAAACATCAGGATTTACGTGGCTCGTCACAGATGTGACTACATTCACAAGCGAAGACGATCGATGTTTTTCACTAAATCAAAGAAAGAAAATTACAAGGCAACTTACTTGAGAGAACCAAGACTCCATTTGGTTTGTCATAGATGTGACTACATTCACGGGCGAAGACAATCAATGTTTTTTACTAAATCAAAGAAACAAAATTTTAAAGCAACTTACTTGAGAGAACCAGAGACTCAATCTCCCACAAAGCCTTCTTATCTACATAATTACCGAGAGCAGGACCGAGAATGCCTCCGGTTCTAAGAGCGAGAGCGTCAGATCAATGGCTGCCTAAAGCTCCAGTGCTCGAGCAGTGAGTTCCGGATCGAGATCCTGTATAAACAAGGAGCGTGTTCCCGATACATTGGGATCGATGTCCTTATTTAACGGGAACGCGTTCCATGTACAATGAGATAGTGTTCCCGTGTTCATTAGGATCGCGCTCCCATAGACAACAGGAATGGGATCCCATTTAAAGTTAAGTCGCGCTCCCATCTAAGAAAAATACATTCTTATTTGGAATGGATTGAGCTCCATTCAAGATTGGATTGTGTTCCGCTTAACTTGGAGCCAATCTCCACCTATCCTCTATCTCTCCATCTCTCTCTCTATCTTTCTCTCTCTCTCTCTTGACCATACATGCACTACCTCTTCACATTCACCACGTCTTCAACCTTTGCACCCCTAATCCAATGGACCCATCTGCCAAGATACGCCCCTCTCTATGTCAAACGTTATGAATACATTTGTCAGACTTCACAATGAATGGGCACTTACTCTCTCTTTAGAAAGCACAACAACAACAGAAATCCACATACCCATCTCAACCTTGCTTGCTAATAGTTGGGGACCTCCACGACGATATCCAAAAGGACAAACAAGCATTGAAAATGGCTAAAATCTTCGATGAAAAACTATTCACTGGATTGCAGGCAACTCCATGGTTGTGAAGCTTGGTGATATCCTTGACAAAGGAGGAGAAGAGTTCAAGCTCCTTTATTTTTTAGAAAAACTTAAGCAAGACGCAGAGAAATCAAATGAGAAGTTGTTAATTTATTAGGGAAACTATGAAAGCCGGAATATACAAAGAGATTTTAGGTATATTATAAAAGTTGGCCTTGACGAATTCAAGAATTAAGGCACTGGTTTTCTATAGGAATTCAAATGAAAAACCTTTGTAAAGGATTGGAAATGCAAATTAATATTTTTATTGGAGTACCCAAAAATTATCCATCTAGAATTAGAGCTAGAATAGCTGCTTTGAGTATTGGGGGCCCAATTTATATGTGTTTTTTAGCTGATAACCCTATTGTTTTAAAGGTGCAGTTTGCATACGGACGCATCCATAGGTGTAGAGGTAAGGTGCACCTTCAAATTTTATCATGGTATATAATTTTGATGTAAAGTGTTCTTAGGAATATCTCAAAATCTATTTTTATATCTAATTATAAAATTTTAAATTTAAAAAATGGTTAAAATCAAGTAGATCTATCAACATATGAAAACCTTGAAATTGGACGGTGTGGATAATATGTTGTAAAAAGCACTATTTTTGAGACGTAAAATCTTTTTATTTGTCATAGTCATACATCTTGATGTTGAGATAATCAATCAAAGGGTTTTTCAATATTAAAACTACCTTTTCCGATGGATTTTTGAGGGCCATCCATAGTTCTACATTATAAGGTGGCATCCTTATATAAACTTTTTCATTGTTTTAATGGTGGGTGGCCCTTTTTTTTGTTCATGTTGGGATCCTCCTCCCTAAGGATAGAGTTTCGGGAATGTAGGGATCCCGATCCTAAAGTTCTTGGAGTAGGGATCTAATTTGTTTGGTAACGCGTTCTGTGGGATAGTGGGAGCGAGATCCGTGTGGTAGCGGGAGCGAGCTCCGTTGTGAATAGGATCGAGAATCCTAAAAATAAAAGCAAGCTCCCAAAAAGTTGGGAACGGGTTCGGGACGAGATCCTGACAATGGAGTGCCGGAGCTGGCTTCCGGAGCGGGAGCACCACCCTAGTTGGACGCTCCCGATAACTATGATATAGAGGAGAGAATCCCAACAAGTCTGGAGATATATAGAGACCTCAAAGAATGATGAATACTAGCATGCTTACAAAATGGTGGTGGTGTTTTCAGCTACAACAAAAAAAATGTTGTGGTCTGAAGTGCTTAAACAAAAATAGGGAATTGATGTGTTTTATGGAGTATCAAAAGGTTGAGATCTAAAGCTTCCATCGAGTATTTGGAAAGGGATCGACTACTATAGATCTACATATCTTCGCCACTATCGTAAATTAGTGGGAAAGGGAGATCAAACTCTCTTTTGGTATGTTAACTAGACTCTCTTTTGGTATGTTAACTGGTTGGGACATTACCTTTTTAGATATTTGTTTCTTGAGGTCTTCTCTAAAGTTGTAAACCCATTGGCCTCAGTGAAAGAATTGAGAGGGGAGGGTGCTACTAACAATTATTGTTCTATTATGTGCAGGTACAAGAGCGTGTCTGATGCTTTCATTCATAAATTCCAAAACCTTATGGAGCTATTGAAAAATTTCTTTTATGCTCCTAATAAGGAAGACGCTTTGATTTGGGATCTTAATCTATTGACCTCTG